GGCCGCCGACGAGTTTAGGCTGAGGTCATGGTTTCAGAGTCTAGCCCTGATCTTGCAATGTTGTTGTGCGTGTTGGTGGTGTGGGTCTCCGGGCTGGGGTCTCCTCTGCCTGAGGGATCTGGGACGATGGGCTCCGCTTCTAGTCACCGTGTCCCTTCTGTCTTTGGTGTTGAACAGGGGTGTCTTTGGTGTTGAACAGGGGTGATCACCGACGAGCTCTGGCTGACAATTGGGATTAGGGATTTGGGCTTAATCTTGCTGGTCCTTTGTGGGCGATTGTTGGCATGGGTCTCAGGGTCTCAGGTATCCGTCTGACGGGGGTTGGGTTCGTTGGTGTTTTGGGCCAGTTAGGCGTTTAGTTGGCAGTTTCTAGTTCAAGCTCCTAGGCCGTAGCCCTGTCCGTATGGATGGATGTTTAGTTGGCAGTTTCTGGTTCAAGCTCCTAGGTCGTAGCCCTGTCCGTATGGATGGATGTTCGTTGGCGTTGTCGTCGGATGACTTGGTGTGGTTGTTTGCTATGGGAAGGGTGGTGTTGTGGTGTTTTTCCATTTGTGTTCTAGGTGTGTTGTTTGTGTGTAGGCAGTTTTTCTTTCTTCCTCTTTCGGAATGCAATATTTGATTACTCCTACCCTGAAACATACACAAAATATATTTTTGTGTATTATCAAAATCAAATATGCAAATTGTTGAGATCTGGAGTGCCTGGAAAACGAGGTGTTATGTTCACTAGCACATAATGATATTAGCTATTACTCACATCACACACACACACACAAACTTTTCACACCTAAACCATTCAGAAAAAATAAAAATTAAAAAAATTGCACAACAAGCATTACCAACTAATAGGCAAATACGATGCAACTTACAATAACACAAACAAGTTTAGGAAAAGCAAACAGTACTTGTTATCTACAATGATGCATTTTGTTCTTGGGCTGAGAAAAGCGAGCATGGCAAGAAAGTATGGCGAGGTCATTGAGGTCTTGCAGGGGCACGAGAACTTTCACGACCTCATCCATCGAGGGCCGGGAATTAGTATCCCGACTAAGGCAACTGAGGGCCAACTGAGATATCTTCTGCACCCCTTTGATGGAGTAATGGAGCTCCAGGCGAGGGTCCACCAGCTGATAAACCTTGCGCTTGTCGGATAAGTACGGCCGGGCCCACGTCACCAGATTTTGTTCCCTGTGAGCCCTTTTCTTGTCCATCGACCTTCTCCCCGTTAGAATCTCCAAGAGCACAACCCCAAAGCTGTAGACATCGCTCTTCGAACTCAAGTGTCCTAAAAAGAAAAGGAATAAATAATAAAAAATAAACTCTGCCTTAACTCTTCAAACAATTTAATCAATAACATCATTTCATTTACCTGTCATTACATATTCAGGAGCAGCGTAGCCGTATGTTCCCAAAACTCGAGTAGAAACGTGCGTTTTGTCTCCTTGTGGGCCCGCCTTCGCCAGACCGAAATCCGAAAGTTTTGCGTTATACTCCTAAAACAAAAGTCAATGAATGATCAATATAAATACAATACTCGACTGCACACAACAAGAGATCGGTCCAATTTCTCATCATCTTTAATAACTTATACCGAATCAAGCAAAATATTTGAAGTCTTGAAGTCTCGGTAAATGACTGGTTCGGGCCCTCCGTGAAGGAAAGCCAAGCCCTTGGCTGCCCCGACTGCAATTTTCACTCTGTTGGACCACGCTAGAGGTATTGTCCCTTCAATAGTTTCGACAAACATCCATCAACACTCATTTTTCACTATAATTTATAATTCCAGTTGTTTCAAGAGCCGAGTAACTAATCTAGGGCGGCCTTAAACTTCATTAGCAAACAACACATTGGTGTTGATAATTAAACTCAATATAGATGCTTCATGGAGAATGCAAGATATAATTATATCCTTGCACATAGTGATGTACATAAAGTTTATATATATAAGATATATGCTTTAATTTGCACCAGAATATAGTCAACTGGTCCTCTCTGTTTAAATCTACATAGCTATTATTTTACTTTACATCCTACAGTTTCCTCAAGTTAAATCTACATAGTCTGATATATAAAACTTTCTTGCACTATAAAAAAAGGAAACACAATATTACCGGTGCTTATACGGACTTACTCCTGAATAGATGATTCTCAAGACTGCCTCGTGTCATGAACTCATAAACGAGTAATCTCTGATCATCTTCAATGCAATATCCGATCAGCCTAACCAGATTCGGATGATGAAGCTGTCCAAGAAGATCCACCTCTGCCTGCATTTTAAGAAATCATCCTTCATACTTGTTTCCGACATCATTATGTTTTTTTTCATTATCAAGTTTATATTGGTTGCTATACTAAAAGCTTCGGTTTAGTTTAAACCAAATTCGAATTTTAAATGAGAATCAAAATTAGTTAAAAGTGTTTGCATTTATATTTTTACGAATATGGAATGCATACTTGTCCTTTTATTGACATTGGAGATAATATAGTGTGACGTCGTTGCAAAGAAAATTATATTATTGATTCCTTGTACAATATAAATAAAGTTTGTAACCGAGATAGGAAGCGGACAAACCTATCAGCATCGTTATAGTATAATTTTAGTTAGTTTATATTAATTAATGTATTATATTAGTACATTTTTTGTGTATCGAACTGGACCACAGCGGATAAGTTTATTTTATACTTACTAGTAAATAAACTAGACCTTACGATATCACTCATACTCTAAACCCTCATAATAATGATGGCCATGTGAATTTAATATTTATTTCTTCAATTCATCAAATGGTGTGACTTATTTCGCCAACTTAATAGGCTCGGTGAGTTAAGGAATATTATTATTTATATGGTGTGTTGTCGATTATATCCAGTTACTGTGTCTTGGTGCCCAAGGGTGATGACGTCCCTGGAATAAGCTCAAGAAGATAATTATTGCTAAGCCATCCAAGTGGATTAAGCTCCGACATAATAATAAGGTTGAGTGGTACTCGTTTCGAAACACCAAAAAGATAATCAATCAAACTGTCAGTAATTAAATTAATTAATGGACGTTGGATATCTTAAACATGGGGAGATAAATCGAGTATAGTGCAACTAAATTGTAATTTATGTGAGAAAGAAGGTAGTGTAATAATAAATCTATAGTGGAGTGATTTTTTGTTAATGGGTTAAGGAATAGGATGGTCTATAACTTAAATATTTCTTTTTGTATTGGAGACCTGATCCTAACCTCTTTAGACAACCTTTCTCCGTGACCTCCCCATCGGGTCGTCCGGACAAGACAAAAGAAACAAAAAATGACCAATGGAGAGGAGAGGGAATGGGAAACTTGTCAGAACCGTTCGTTCGGTCCCGTATACCGTGTAAGTCTGTACAGGATCGGCAATACTTAGCCGTACAATGAATCCTACTCTTAGATCCACTGCGCGTTCGGAATGAATTGTGCAAATTCGAACGTAATCACAAATCGGGCATTTTTCACCAAACCCAGTAAGTTATATATGATCAAAAGAATGAAGAACTCACCACCCATTCTCTATGGCCTTGAAACCCATCAGGCTTCAAACTCTTGACGGCAACCGTGATTCCCAAGCCAGGCTTAGCCGGCGTTGTTCTATTCTCCTCGACCCATCCTTTGAAAACATATCCAAAACCACCCTCCCCGAGTATGCTGTCAGGCCTGAAATTTCCAGTGGCCGCCTTCAGCTCTTGGAAGCTGAACTGAAGCAGTTGGCGTAGTGGTTTAGTGTCCCGGGCTTCGAACGAGCTCCGGGCTTCAACAGGAGCACACATCTCGCGATTGCTGGCATTCAAGTATCGCGTCTCGGTGGCTGCATTAACAGAGAATGCTCAAGTACTACTTGCTTTCTCATTAATATCCAACATTTTTGAGACCAAGAAGAATTTTATAATTTTCCCCACATGAACATTATTTGCTAACTCCATCTCAAACACAAAGAGAACCAAACAGAACAAGCAACTCAGACACAAAACAAGCATGTTAGTTCATCTCTTTATGATCAGAATCAAAATTAAATTATGCACCAAAAATGACACTATTATTATTAGGCAAAATTGCAATTTTAGTCCGGTTGGTTTCTTCATGTGGCCTTTTTAGTCCTAAAAATTAAACATTTTTGTTATTTAATCCCATGATTTTAAAACTCAATGTAATTTCAGTCCTTTGCGACTGAATATGCAAAAAAATACTAAATTACAGGACTTAAGTTGCTAATAAAAAAAAATTTGAATGAATTTTTTATTAGCAATTTAAGCACTGTAATTTTAAATTTCGTTACAATTTCAGTCCTGACCGACTGAAATTGCAGCAAAAATACTAAAAATTACATGTTCAAAAGACAAAAACTTAAAATCTTGAGACTAAAAATATTATATCGTTAAGGAGTAAATATGCAATTTGGCCTTATTATTATTATTATTATTATTATTATTTTTATTATTATTATAAAGAAAAAAAAAGAGTAAAATTAATTATTACCAGCATCATAAACAAGACTGGTTCTTGGGATGGTGGAGGCTGAGCTTCTGGAATGGGTTTTTTTACAGGCGGCGGCTCCGAAGTTGCACCTGATAATTGCCCAACAGCC